AATTAAAATATAGTTGTATCTGCAACTGTATTTGATAATGTTTTTAACTTTTAAAATACTGCATGATAGAAACAGAAGCTGCTCTTCACATTAGTGAAAAAGTTTGGCATTTTTTGACGGGTTACCTTAACTTTTGCTTCTACTTTTAATTTATAATAGGTTTCCATTTTTGGCAGGGATCTAAGGTTCTTCTTCTACATATTAAAAAAGTTGTTAAACATCTGAGTGGCGCACTACCGCCACTTGTGGTGAGAAAGTGKATTGCACCTTATTCAAAATCAATGCGGYCCCATGGCCGCAGTTAAAAACTTTTGTTCACTTGAGGCCCATAGGTTAAGAATCACTGTTTTACTGTATATGATTTATTTTCTTGTCATAGAAAGCCTGTTGCACTGTCTGTCTGCAGTAACAGTGTTTTTAACAGCCATGTTGTTGTTTTTCAGTTGATTAGCTCTATGAGCTCRATAGCAGAACATTGTTTGCCCTCTTTGCTGCGCACTTTGTTCGACTGGTACAGGCGGCAGAGCGGCACTGAAGATGAGTCTTTTGAGTACAGACCACGCTCGAGTACTAAATCTAAGGGGTGAGATGGTCTWCTGTGTTTATTTAAAAAAACCAGTCTGTTTTACATTTGAACAAGTTATTTTCTGCTCTTATTGTTTGTCACAGGATGTTCTTTGCTAAAAATGTTTTTTTTCTCCTCTTTGATTTATAGAGATGAACAGCACCGGGATAAAGATTACCTTCTAGAAAGGCGGGACTTAGCTATAGATTTTATTTTTTGTTTAGTTTCAGTGGAAGTTCTAAAACAGGTGAGTGGTTTGGTTCCTCGTTGGCTACCTGTTGTTTTAAAAAATGTACTGTTTTTAAAAGTATGATTGCTTCCAATTCCTAAAAAAACTAATTTTTTCCAGGGGTGTGAATCTTTAAGCACCTCACGGTTTGATTTGATTCATTTTACATCGTAAACTTCTCACAAACTGGTATGAACGTAGCTAAAGTTATTCCACTGAACAGAACTGTAGACAGACACCTCTTCACAAATTACTGACATCTTGTTCCACAATACTCAGAAACTCTGAAACATCTGACGTAATTACACTTTACGTAGCCTGGTTGATTCTCTCCAAGCCTGGAGCCTCATGCATAAAGGATTGCGCAGCTTTCATACTAAAAGTTGACGTACGGACAAATTTAGAAAAGTGCGCTGCACCAAAAAACTCTGATGTATAAAACTTAGGGTTGGGTATTGAAAGGGTTTATTTTGATACCGGTTGCCTCCTGTGAGCAATTCCAGCATGTTTTTAAAAGAAAAACAACACGGACACGCTAATTACAGTACAGTTTCAAACCGAAAGTAAAAACATGGCGCTCGCTGTGCTCCCGTTCGAAGTGAAACTTAACACACAGCTGTTCTCTCTACCACACATAGTCCGACACAGAGGGCAGAAGCAGCTAAATTAATTAAAACACATTAAAAGTTCATAACTCACCCCTATTGTTGTTGGCACTCTGTGGAGATTGTGTGCCGAGGCTGTCACTGTTAACAGTGA